TGGAATTGTAAGTTTGTACACTGTTATGATTGTATTTTATACTTCTATAATCACAAATTTCGCCAAGACTACACTATAAAAAAATATTAATAAAGACAAACAATTTATTCTCAATTTGACAACAAACGTCAAGAACAAAAGTTTGACAATAAATAGTATGCATGCGTGTGTGTGTCAAATACATGGTATGTAGTGTGTGTAATGTTTTCTTTTATGATTTATTGTATCTTTTATGCATTATTTTAAAAATATATTAGCATTGTGCACTTCTTCTCTATATTCTCTACAAGTGTGAAAAATTTCATACTCCTCCGTCCGCGCAATTTTCTTAAAAAGGGATACAAAGTTTTTGCTTCACGTATTAATATATAGATAAAATATTTTTAGAAAACAATGACAGCTCTAACTCTAACAATGACAATGTCGACAAACGAAACGAAGAGATGCCAATTGTTCACATTCACATCACAGAGACGATCGGTGAAGACAACGTTATTCGTGTTCATGTTAATCTGACAAAACGACGTAAGTGATTTTGTTAAAACTATTTTTTTATTTTTTTTTATTGCTTAGATGGGTGGACGAGCTCACAGCCCACCTGGTTTTAAGTGGTTACTGGAGTCCATAGACATCGACAACGTAAATACGCCACCCACCTTGAGATATAAGTTCTAAGGCCCCAGTATAGTTACAACGGCTGCCCCCCCTTCAAACTAACACTGTCGGGTTCATATTTCGCTTTCGAACATCTCATTCTCATCTTTAGGATAAAAATGTTTTTTTTTAAATGGAAGGATTGCTGATGTATTGACGAACTCATAGCCATACTAAGTTAATAAATGTCGTTTTAATATCGTCGAAATTTATTCAGACATTCCGGAGACTTGCTCGGAAAAATAGACAGTTAGACCGATAAAAAAAATAGTTTTAATTTAAGTGCAAAAATAACCATGATATAAGCGCTTATATCGAAATAATATGTTTCAATATTATTTATATGTATAGGTTCTATAGATTTGTGCCTTGTGGCGGCCCTGCGCTGAAGCATCGCACTATATAATATAATAATATTCGACGGTACTCGCAAATTGTTTTCATTAGCTAATTAAATATAAAACTATAATTGGTGGTACCATTTCACTGCAACAAAACCACAGTTGGTGCCGCAGCCTTTTTTTGGCGTTTATGTTTAAGCGTTTGTTACAGAAATTTCAGCGGATTCAGTTTTAGATCACAGAAAATTGCGGAAAGAAAAGACGTATGCATGTGCTTCTTGCGCAGCGATATTTGCCACGCCATCGGAACTTACTCAACATCAAGAGGTTAGTTACCTACGGATGCAGGATCGACAAAAAAAAGCGTCATTGGGAGATTACTCGAATATAATGATATCCATAGATAATAAACTTAATATTTGAGAATGATATCTATGATCCTAGGAACTATACATTTACTGTCAACTTATTTTAATTAATTTTATTCATCGATGTATGTAGGTATGCATTTTTTGATTAGGAAACTCATCGATAGGATTTTCGTCGTCTACTACGTCAAGATATTAAGAAAATTAGAACAGGTACATACATGTTCCTAACCTAACATGTTCAGGAATGATTTACACGCTCTAATAAAATTTTATAAGAAAAATTAAACTCACGAATTATATAAAAAAATGCGTAATTATTGGCATCAGGCAATTGACAATAACCTTATGCCTTAAGGTCGCGGCATGTCTGCAGGCTCAGATATGTTTATCTATATAAGCTTTCAATTTAAATTGACAAATAAATAATGTATGTAGGTCATCATTCAATCATTATTTCAGGCACAGTGTACTGAAACTGAAGACAATTTAATGATTGACACGGACGGCATGAACGATACCCAAGAATACTATTCAGTCTCTAATAATGGTAAAAAGAAAATGTATAGCTGCCTACTGTGCAAGGTACGTCGTTTATTTTTCACGGCATAATTCAAAATGGTTTTAGCATTTAATCTCGTACCTACCTACTTCATTATTGAAACGAAAGGCACGATTTCCGATGTATCATATTTTGTAAAAACCTATCTACTGACTTACTCATCATAACGAAACGCACGAAGAGTGAAGCAGTGCCCTTAGTGTGAGTTTTTTAACGTTCTCGATAGCGTAAAAGTTAGCTCATATTTGTATGGAATGGGTTTGTTTGCCTACGTTTGCCGCTAGGGGCGCTGTTCCAACTGCATACAAAATTGGGCTAACTTTTACGCTATCGAGAACGTGAAAAAACTTTTTTTTTTTCGGTCCGGGGGCCGAACCTCCTACGAGGTCTCCGCGCCTAGGGGGCGCGCGGGGTATGTGAGACTCAACGATCTGCAGGTGTTGAGAGCAGATCGCGGGCCCAAGGATTTTAGGGCCCACCCACTAAACGACTCCCCTGCACTCTTACACCCGACGTCCGATCTCCGTCCGGGGTCAGAACCCGGTCAGAGTAGGGAGGTTCCCGCGGTCAACACTACAACCACGGCGCCACCCAGGACGTTAAAAAAAAAAAAACTTGCACTAAGCACACTGGTCTCACTTTGATTTCAGGTCACCTTTCCCAGGTTCAGCAGTTGTATGAAACATGTAAAGTCCCATTACATTACTTCAAATAAACGTAAATCGGATAATGAAAACGACGACGAACATTCGGCTTCAAAAATTGATAAATCGCAAGTTTTCAAATGTAAAATGTGTCCTGCAGCATTTTTCCATCCATCGACATTATCGAAACATATAGTCACAAAACATATTAAATTAAAATCGAGTTGAATTTGATCCACGCCGTTTTATTTCCAATCCTAATTATTTTCTAATTTATACAAATGTCAATTAAAATTTTCTAATTCTGCAGTACTTTTTTTTTATTTTTACGGTTTTACAAATCCTAAGTTGTACGAATGATAGAATACATACTTTAGTAGGTACTACAAATGTAAAAGTGTGTTTAATTGCCCTTCTTTTACGTCGAAATTAAGCAACTGATTGACATGATTTTTTTAATACGCTTTTATAAGCTTCGGACGAATGTATGTAACGGAATCTTTGAACATGACTTTGACCCCCTTCAAAACGTCGGATTAACTCGAAATTTGGCATACCTACTATTTAAGGACCGATGACAATTCAATATTTAAAAAAAAAATATTGAAAAAATTGAAGTTCAACTAAAAAATGAAAAATACATAAATAATAGTTTAAAAAAACTTAAAAAATGCGCTTTTATAGAAAATCCAACTAAAAATTAGGAAATAAATTTTAATAAATATGAATTACAAATGGTGTAAGAAAAAACGATTTTATTGTAAAAAAATGCGTTTTTCTTACACTTTCTTTAATTCAGATCTATTTATTAAAACTTAGTTTTATAACGGAACGTAATTTCCGAACGTGCGATACCGCCCCCGCCGCCGCCTTACCCCCCGCTGAGACAGAGCTCTCTGAGCGCGAAAAAACACACGCCCTCAGCGCGCGCGACGACGACCAGTAAAATATTGCGAGTCTTAGATTAACTATACGATTCTCAACTCATTTTGTATTTTATGTTAGTTATTGTGTCGCTTTTTATATTAAAACCTCATACCAAATCAGTGTAAACATTATTTCTATATCATCTCCGCCAACAGCCCGGAACAACGAACTCACACGAAAACTCACAAAAGCCCGCTAGTCGGACTTGTAGTGTTAAAAATGGCGCCCGAACGTTTAGCTGTGAAGTGATATTTATAAGAAATTATTGTGCCTGCATGAACGATTTGTGTTTTCCTGACTTTACCGACTAAACCGTCGTCAAATAATGCCGCCGAAGAAGATGCCCAACTCCGAGGAGCGCGACGCGAGAGCCGCGTCGCCACCCCACGCGCCGTCGAGTNACCCCAAGATTAAATTATTACAATTATTAACCTATATGTTTTGTTGATGTTCTAATAAATATATAAATAAATACATATGTTGATTTTAATAATTTAATAGCATTATGACGCAGAGTAAGTAATGTTTTTGCACGTGAGTGTACCATGCGCAAACTTACCCCCACTACGTCAACAAATGCTCAAGAAGTTTGCCGGTTATTATAAAGTCGTTTGTGGATACAAGTTAGGTACGCATTTGCTAATAAAAATTGTATCGTATTGTCGGATTTGAACTGCGATGTAATCGATTAGATCACCATGAAATTTAAGCTACCTAATGAAGAAATATCATGCATTAATTACCAAACTGAGACTGTCATCATTAAATTCAAGCACCATTACATTAAAATAAAGCCCATGTAGAAACAAGATTTGGGAATTAAGCTTAGGTCCTATAAAAAAACGAAAAATGGGTTTCATCATCCTACTGATTTTTTTTTCCTACCTAAGCTGATAGCCTTGAGAGGCTACATCACCGGAACCTTAACGAGTAGGTGAGCTCACGGGGCTTAAACCTGACGACATTGCTAACACGAACCCTAGCAAGAGCCGTGCTTCGCAGAATCTACCACCGGATCGGAAACGCGACCCACTGAGAAGATCCGGCGAGAAACTCAGTGGGCTGTGTCTGAGGGTTAATTTACTCGAGCCCTTCGTCGCAAGCGACGGGTTCGACATCACATTTTGGATATCAGCTTATCACTGAATACGCCACATTAACAGATCTTGCGTTGCCGACTCAGCCGATTACACACGTAACCCTAGAAATATTCGCCTTGTAGAGCGTCTATAATTATTTTAAACTATTAATAGATTAACAAAGTCGTCTTATTGTTAGTTAACAAAACTTAGATTTTATCTAAGCTTGATATTTCTGGCCCAGATAATCATCATATTCCACAATTTGTTAACAAGATTTTATTCTTTCTAATCTGTGGGAATATTGGAACTCAATGAAGCCCGACAAAAAAAAAGGCCTGGGTTTGCTAAGTTATATGGACTACCTACCTTTTAATCTTCTAACTATCAGGGAAAGTAAGAAGAGGAAAACGAAAAGTTTGTCATTGTTGTTAGAAAAGAAAAGTTTATTTAAAATAATTCATCTGAAAATATAGTATCTAAATCATCCAAAAATTCAAGGTCATTCTTAGAATCTGTGCAGGAATCAAAAGACAGACCTGAAAAAAAATATGTAAAATAATTATGCAATTTCAAACAGATTCTTTCTATTCTTCTTTTCTTTTTTTTACGAAAAACATACCATTTTGTTTTTGTACACTTTTTATCACAGTGAAATCTTCATTATAAACTATACTATATCCATCAGGCAGGTTTTGTGAATTATCTTTCAAAATAACTGAGCTGTATACAGCATTGATATTACTCAAAGTAATGTTCAGATAATGCTTTTTAAAAGCACTCCCTGTTGTGAGTACTGTTGGTTGATGCAATACCAATATGCAATATTCTGAAACAATATATGGGGAAAACGTAGACCATGCATCCCTATGCAATGTACACTTTATTGATCCTGAAACAAAAACCAGTCTTAAATCACATAAATAAATTCCTTTAATTTCATATTTAAATAATATGTAAGCAAAAATTAATTAATAATTATTTATTTTTTATTTGTTCCCAATTTTGAGAAAATAAAGGTTTGTGATTCTGGCCTGTAGGCAGCTGTAAGCTACTATTACTTCATGTAGTAAGTTTTCTGTCACTATATTCCTAACTTGTTATCTTTTTCCAATTCCTATCTATTAGTGATGTTGTGAGCCAATGCAGTTCAATTTCAGTATTGCTGATTTCTATCTGTTAACCATAATTTAATTGTACTGTTTTTCTAACCACCTAATGCAGGTAGTCGACTAACTACCATGTTCTCTTGAATTTTACTGCACTTATACACAAAAACACTACTTGCACCATAGGTATTGTTCTGTAAATTCAAATAGGGACCATACATTTAAGAAAATAAACTCACCAGTTCTATCTCTAAGAATTATTAATGGGTCAGTCACTGATCTATCTACACCTTCAATAAATGCTGCAACTACTTGTGCTTTTCCTCTTCTTAAATTACCAGTATGAGCTTGTTGTTTTATTACATTAATTGTGTCTATATTGTTAAGATTGCACTTCATTTGATCATCATTCAGTCTCTTCCACAGTGGAGAATCAAATAAATCTCTTCTCAAATTATTTTGAGTGAAATCAATATCCTGAAAATGTATTTTTGATATATTCAAATTATTTTGTTAATAGTACCAACTTTCCACAACTACTAATAGAATAAGAATGATTTCTATGTATGATGTGTGATGATTTTATATGGAATAGGAAATACTAAAATAATGAGTGAGTACACAGTGAGAACATCATACAATCTCACTGCACACCGGCATTTACAGTAATGAAACAGACATACCTGTGATAATAGTTCCAAGTGACAAATACTTTCGTTCTTAGTTTCTTCTAAAGTTTTACTTAGTAATCCTGCTGGTCCTGGAAACTTTCGTTTTCTACTTTGATCAAAATGTGACTTTATAATTTTTCTTTTTGAATGTTTCGAGAATGCCTCATTGGTGGACACTGTTGATGCATTGCATGTATGCTGCTGAGATATTGATTTCGTGTTATCGCTTTCTGTTAATTTGCATAATCTTTTTTTCGGTGGGGATTTAAAGTTTTTGTTTAATATACAATTTTCTGCTTGTTCTTCGACATTCATTTGTGCTTTTTTTTGCGGAATAGTTTCCGGAATATCAAATTGTGATAGTACCTGTAAATTATTAGTACCTAATTGTTGTATTCATGCGATCATAATAATTAATGATCGTATATGAGAGATAAACTCATATGCAATATAATTAATAGATGTTTAACAAAACATTTTTTGTTTTTGTTATGCCTACTTATTGCTGGTAAACTGAACTAGCTTCATCTAACGTGATAACAACAAATTATAATATCTACTATTAATATATTATTTTATAACGTTACCTCATCGAAATCATCTGATTCAAACATTATAATAATTTTAATTACTTATATTGTGCAGAGTGTATTTTTCTTGGTTTCAGAAGTAGCAACTGAATTATGCCGTTAGAAGAGTGCAATTCTTTAAAAAAATCAAATACTTTTATTGCAGCTCTAAAAGATTTTTACCTATATTCTTAAATTATTTTCATGGGTTTTACATTTAATAAATATACTAAAGACCATAGATTATACACTTAATATATTTGAGATAGATGCGCAACTCTCATTTTTATTTTTGCTTTAGTTAGAGCCCGGGACAGCAGGCGTCGCTGCTGTCGATTATTAGTCTCCCTACCCCCCACCAGGTGGCTTTTTTAGTAATTTTAATATTTTTTATAATTAACTCTCTTTATGAAAAAATCTTATCGTTTAGAATCNTTGACGCATGCGCCATAGATTATACACTTATGGCATGCGCAGTACACATATTTTGTATACATTTATTCAACTAATACAATTAATTAAACAAAAAATGAGTAATTTCGAAAGAGAACAAACGTATTTTATATAAGAACAATCGAAAATGAATATTTACGAGTAATTAAGGACGAAAAAATATTAAAAATTGCAATCGAGGGGCTAACTTTTAGATATATTTTTAATATTTTTTTTTAAATAAATAAATGGGGAACAAACAATTATTAACAATGAACAATCAAGAACAAATGATGAACAAACGAATTAACAGAAAATAAGTAGAAAACAGGAAAAAAAATTTTTTTTGAGGGGCTAACTTCATTCACCCGGGAGTTGCACCCCCCTGCTAAAGACTGTCATATACATTTTTGTTGGTACAATTTTTCTTTATTAGGAAAAGCAAAGGGATGTAAGCCCATACAGCTTTAACTGTCATAGACAATGTCCTTAATAATTAAAATTAGAATTTATTTACGATCTATGGCTTCAATGTCTTGTTTTTTTAAAGATTTTACAGCCTGGTAAAGAGACTGTTAAGCCAACTGTCTCATAGATATTTCCATGCACAGTACACTTCATATTTATGTGTATTATCTAGGAAAATCTTTTGAAGGCATTGAGGGGACTTTTTGGCGGGAAAGAGGAGCAGAAGTAAGGAGCACCATCTCAAAGCAGAGCAAAGTGTCTGCTGAAAGAGAGCCAATGAAGGTGGGACCATAGCAGCAAGTGAAAAGATTTTGAAAACAGCACCATAAACTATTACAATTCCAGCACACTTTAAGTTGCTGAAAACCGTTATATTCATAATATCATTTCCACTTCCTACGCTATATTTCAGTGAATCGTCCAACAATAACGTGTTGTTTACACGTGGACACTTTTTCTAGTTGTCCGCTATACAAGATGATGCTCCTTACCTCTACCCTTCATAAAGCGAAGGCCAAAAACGTTAAAAAAATGAGATCTACTACTTCGACAGAAGGCGGTAAAATCGTAAAGAAAAATTAGATATACTACTACTAATACTACTCATTCAATTCTACACCTATGGTATAGACGTTGCGACGATTTAAACAAGCATAGGGGTCACCGCTTATAAAGCAAGTCTTATGTTTAAATTGAGCAAAATAGAGCGGAATGAAATGAGGTGATTATTATGAAATTTGTTATAACATGAAATAAAACGAAGTTAAATCAGATTTCATGAAAAATGAAATCTGTGGAAGATGTGATCACTATCTAAAGTAACCCTCTCTCTTCTCTAGTATATACACGTTATTTATTGGGTTGAGATTACTTAATAATAAATGACGACGTGCTGAAAACCAGGTATGGCAAAAGCAAATTAGCTCCAAGCATACAATTGTATCTATTAGTATTTATTAAAAAACAGTTAACTAAATTCATACATATATTATGATCAGGAGATTACCAGCTCGAGTCGTATTTTATTATTTTCATTTATTAGATTTTATAATAAAAAAATATTCAACTTAATTAAAATTCTAAAATTTGCAAAAAACATCTGTAAACTTCCTTACAAAGAGTTTACAAACGCTATGCTTCTTTTTAATGCATAAATGAATGTGACACTACATAAACTGATGATTATATTTTACAACTGTCTATTGATTCTTGTGTTTTTTTAGTTAATAGTGATCTAAAATTAATAGTAATCATTTTTTCGACACAATGGCAGTTCTCGATGCTTATAATCCTCTTCATAATGTATCCTTACGATTCAATGAACATCAGCTAAAAGAAATTGGCGAGTGGTTTGAGAATAATGCAAAACCTCAACTAACCAGTACTGATGGTGATCCTATCAGAGCGATAACAGTAGAAAAATTCGTGTCTTTCTTAAACCTTAAAAAGTACCAACCTATTCCTAACTAATTTATCATTAATTCAAGAAAAACAATCCTACATTTTATTCTAAAACTAATTATTGATTAGGTTTCATAGAAGGAATTTCCAATATCCAAGTTATGCAGAGGTAATGAATGAAGTAGAGAGATTAAAAGCTGGAGCATTACGACTATTGACTAGAGAACAAGTAATTTATATGTTGAATAAATGGGTTCTAGAACCAGACATAAAACATGAATTGTGTTTAGCTTTCAAGGTAATTTGAGCCCGTAGCTCGTAGCTCGTAGCATAGCTTGGAGCTTGGACAGATAACGCACACGCTTACAGGAATTATTATTTTATAAGTTAATCCACTGTAAAAAAATATATTTAAGGTTTTCGACACAGAGAAAAGGGGTTTTCTAGAAATTGACGAACTAAAAACAATTGTAACAAGCTACGCTGAACCATTCTCGGAAGAGGAGACACGTGAAATGCTACGTGATGCAAATGTCCGTGGCGATGGAAATGTATTTTATGAAAATTTTGTTGAAAGCCTATTCAGCGTTGCTCCTGAATTATATGAAATCAAGGTTAAAACATAAAATATGGTCAAGAACATGTTTCAAGTATGCATACATAACAAACTGCTTAACTTTTCCAGACAGACTATTTATATGAGGACCCTAATGAAGATCCATCGGTTCCCCCTGAGCCTGTTGTTGTAGAAGAACCTCCACCTGTACCTGTTCCTTTACCAATTAAGAAACCGAAAAACAAAAAAAAACAATAACATTTGTTCATCTAAACCTATTTTTAACACCAGTATGATGTGTTTCGTATACAAAGTAGTTTATTTAACGGCTTTATTTTTAGAGAAATCATTAAATTAAATTTTACTTTGAATATAGTACTGTGTTCAAGCTTTTACATGTAAGTACTATACGGTCTATACCTACAAAAAACATTTTTTGTAGATACTCGCACGCCACCTTTCTTTCGCTGCCACTACTTTAACAGAAACGGGGAAACCTTGACTGAACTGCCAACATAACTGTTAAGTTTAAAGTATGGGAGTAAGGAGGACCATCTCAGTACAATATAGTAAATCATCTCATAAAGTGTCCGTTGAAAGTGAACCAATTAAGGAGGCGCCTTAGTAGCAAGTAGAAAGATTTTAAAAGCAGCGCCATGGACTATTTGAGTAGAATACTAAATTGAGAATGAAATAAATAATTCCTACATAAATAGTAATAAAAACAAATAGTTGAGATTTTAAATACCGCACTCTGTTTAAAACTGCTTTATTCATATCATTTTGATTTCTTAAACTAGCGCTATTTCGGTCACTTTTTAACTTGTCCCCTATACAAGATGGTCTTTCTTAATTCTGTGGTGCATACTTTAAAGGGCCAAACATTTTTTTTGAGAGATAGACAAAATTATCACAGTTCAGTTGTGACCAACATTAGGTAATAAGTATCTTTTCCACACTTATATCTAATATGAAGTGGGATATTTTTTTAGACTCCTAGTCTTGATCTTTACGCAGTAGAGAATCTATTCTACGAGCAGTGCCTAAAGCGCATCAGTCATACAGTAATCAAAGAAGCGTTTATTCCTCCTCCTATTATACCTACAGACAAAATCAGTTGCGAGCAAAAAATAAAAAAAAAAGGAATGAGCTACTCTTTTTAGGAAGTTTTTTTGGGCTGCGTTCCTAATCTTCAGGAGAGCCCGGGTTGAGGAGGATGTGATGTATGACGATGTTGAAGCCTCCCAACGACTTCCCTATACTCTTGCCCAATCTCCAACTGAGACAGATCCTCGGCGTGATAGGTCGCTGTAGACGATGGGTAGGAGGGGCGACTGCAGTCAACTTGGCAACCACATGCGCGTTACACCTCAAGGACGCCTGGCTGACGGAATTGTCAGCAAAATGTCTCTACGTCGCCCATCTCGGTCAGCACTGGTATTCCGGCATAACCTGTTGGAACAAAACCAGCCTGCCGGATCTGAACGCGATACACTATAAACTGGATCTCTTGGATCGATCAACTGTACAGCCCGTTAGAGTTTTAAAAAGGCATTGCATTACATTTGTTAAAAATTCTAATAAACAAAAATTGAAACCAGCATATTTTATTATTATTTTATATTCAATGTCCTTTGACGCACTAAATGGTCAAACCTCTATTACCAATGGGTTGAAATGAACTTTTTTCTTAATAATGCAAGCAGACGTGAATATACAGCCCAACTAATAGTAAATGGTCACCGTTGTTCATGAATATCAACAATATTAGGGGTAAAGCCTAGCCGTTTGATTGATTGTAATTATTTTCAGAGCAATATTACCCAAAGAAGCTCAGATTGTCTGTAGTCTACAATTCTGATACGTTTACAATTAGCGTAAGAAATTAACGGCAATTTGACTGGCGGCGCGGCATATTGCATGACGACATAGATTATCACTAGAATTCAACACATGACAATCGTGACATTTGATATTTATTAAATGTTGATTGTACTATTTACTCAAGAAATTCTTGATAATATTTCCTTCTTAATATTTAAATCGTTAAATATAATTGCAGTATGCTTTAGCAATCAAACACAGACTAGAAAAATAAGTAATATAGGTTTAAATTTTAATTTTTTTCTTTTTCCGTAAATAAGTTAATAAAAAATCTGGGCCAATGGATCTTGAAGACAATGCTTTGGGTTTGACCCAGGATCAGACCGATAAAATTTTACAATTTCAAGACTTAACTGGCATTGAAGACATGTCGATATGTAGAGATGTTTTGCAGAGACACCAATGGGATCTAGAGGTAAAAATAATAATTGTTTCACTATAGCCAAAGCTGCACTTCATAAATCTATTAAAAGCTTAACAAGCGTGGCTTAGAGTCATAAAATTATTCTTGTTTCAAATTACCACTGTTAAACAAAACTGCTGTCTATTTACAACTCAAGTTGCAAATGCCTTAGCACCTTTCCTCTTCTGAATTCATGTTGTATCGAGAGGTGAAAGGGTATTTAGTTTAAGCGACATTTTTGCCACTTTATAAGAGAGCTAGAGTTTAAACTTTGCAAAAAATGTCATAACAATAACTTCTTCAGCTATCTGAATGGAGTAAACTTAATTTAAGTTCAATTAAAAACATCAAACTGTTGATGCTAATACCAAGTAAGAAACACACCTGTAATTACAAAGATAAATGTTGCATATTAAGAGAAACGTTGCTTAAATCAAATAACCTTTCAACCCTCACTATAATCGGTTGATGTATACTATATATTGCTAACTTCCATTTTCAAAACTGATTTGAATGATATATTATTCATAGACAAGTCAAATATACTTCAGAAGATATAGTATATGTGAGAACTTTGTGATAATAGAGAGAGATTTAATATACTCTTTAGTTCATTTGTATGAACTGTTTCTATCTGTCCACTGACTAGGGTCAGATGTGTTACTTAAACCGATTTGTAAGGCTTTTGATGTGTTAACTGAGCTCCATCTGTTTGTCACAGTGAAGCCATAGTTTCACATGCAGCTTCAAATATCAAGACTCTTGGTATAGAAATAATTTTGTTAGAACAAATTGAAATCTTTAGTAATTGACAAGGGAGTCAAGTGGACCTTGATATTTTAATGATTTTGACTAATATACTATTTAAAATTTTCATATGTAAAAGAAAAAATAGAACTTTCATACATATTTATTTCCTTTCCTTTTCTACATAGATGGAAGATAAGAAGTAGCATTCTGTATATGGGTTGCTTACAGCTCATCACATTACTTTAAAATTGGTACTGAAGCCCATAGATATATACATAATGTGAATATGACTATCCACCTTGAAACTTGCGCTCAGAGTCTCACTTGTATTGTACAATGGCTGTCCCACCTTTAAAGCAGGAATACTAGAATGTGTGGCTGACATAGGCAGAATGGTGATCCCTAGCTGTGCAGCTTCACAAGACACCCTGCCACCAGTAATTGCCACTAGGCAACTGCATTGTTCTCAATTTTCAACTCTGTTGCCCATTCTATGTTGATAAAAAATAGCAGATTTTGGTTTAACAATGTTAATATTACTAATTGAAATTATTAGCCTTTGTCAAAATCACATATCAATAGTTAATGCATATATTTGATAAATTTGTAGGTAGCAATTCAAGAACAGTTGAATATTAGAGAAGGGCGGCCCTCTGTGTTTGCCACAGAAGCTCGGGCACCACCTGTTGTACATGACCACATTGCACAGCAAGTTTTTACCGAAGAACCACCAGAGGGACCTGGAGGTGTCAGGGGCCTAATACGTTATGTTGTTAATCTAGTTGTCTCAATGTGCTATAGTACAATTTCATCTGTATTAAACTTGCTTTTAAGTTTTGTACGTAATGATGATAGAAGACGTGAGTACCATAAATTAAAACAGTAGCAATTGATTCAATAAATGACACATGAACAAATTTAATAATATCGTTACCAATATTTATATTTCAGTGGCAACTGATCCATTAGCAGATGTAATGAATTTCATCAGTAGCTACCAAACAAAATTCAATGCACACCCAGTCTTCTATCAGGGAACTTATGCTCAAGCTCTAAATGATGCTAAGAACGAGCTCAGATTCCTAATTGTTTACTTACATTCAGATTCAGCACCAGAAACACAGAATTTCTGCAGGTTTGTACAATCAAACTTATTGTTGAATTTGTAAAAACATATTTTTCTTGTAATAATATTTTTTAATGGACAGCTAAAGATAATAATAAATTTAACTCCTATCTAGTATTAGTAATTAACAAAATTGATAAATAATATTTATAACCATTAATCTAAGTTTGAGATACTCAGATTTTTTAATGCTAGATATAAATGTAATTTAATATTTACACTTGTTGTGAATAAACACATGCCTGTACAGTTTTGGCTATGTCTTGTACACCAATATTTTCCAAACCTTTTTTTTATTTATATTTGGTATATTATAATAAGTATGTTTTTTGGTAACTAATACTGCTAGGCCAAGATCAATTAATATGATTTTTACTCGAATAAACTGTTAGTCATGAAATTCCCTAATACAATGATATCTGTCGTGTTTCAGAACAACATTAGCAGATCCCGAAGTAGTCCAATATATAAATACGCATGCATTGTTCTGGGGTTGCTCAGTCGAGAGTGGGGAAGGTTGGCGCGTCGCTCAGTCGGTGGGAGGTCGGCGATATCCTCTTTTGTGCGTTGTCTGCGTGCGGGAACATCGCATGACTGTAGTCGCTCGAAGTGAAGGGGCCTGTTCCGCCGAAATACTTATGCAGCGTCTTCGTCAAGTTGTCAGTGAAAACGAGGGTCACTTAGCTGCCGCTCGAGCGGATAGGTAAGTCGGCATGACGATCTTCAAGTATAGGCTGTATAGGGATTTTTTTCTCTATCAAATAATTGGTAGTCTATGGAGCTATTCCGATTGCGCATGGGCAGATGACAGTGAATTTAAAAATTCGAATGTGGTTTTGAGATGTGGTTTTCAGTGGCGCAAGCTGACGAATTAAAAGAAAACAATATGTCAATATTAGTTTTAGTCTGTGCCTCTCTCTCTCTCTCTCTCTTCGATCGGTTCCTCACTGCTGAGGATCGTGACTCCGTCCGATTTCGTCAACCAACTGTCTCCATCGATCCCGCCCTGCAGCCCGGTGGAGTGCGTCGCTGATAGGTATTCCCAGTTCCTCCGCTATTTGGTCCGACCATCGTTTGGGACCTCTACCCCTAGGCCTTTTTCCCTCTATTTTACCGGTCACCACAAGGCGTTCCAAATTGCTGGTATCCCTACGTGCAACATGACCAAAATACCGCAATATTCTTTGTAGGCAGATTGTAGATAGACGATGAATCTTTTCTATTTTTAACTGCCTGAGAATAGATATGTTGGTGCGGCGGGCCGTCCATGGTATTCGTAGCATACGTCGCCAGCACCACATCTCAAAAGCGTCGATTCAAGTCTGTGCCTATCAGTTTAAAAAAAAGTAGGTACAATTCGTGGGGTGCTTAGTTGATGATTTTGAAGTCGTCGTGGCCTAAAAGATAAGACGTCCGGTGCATTCGTATGTAACGATGCAACGGTGTTCGTATCTCGCCGGCAAGTACCATTTTTCCAATGAAATACGTACTTAACAAATGTTCACGATTGATTTGCACAGTGAAGGAATATCGTCGTGTAATAAAAACCATAACCGCAAAGTTATTATATTTATTATAATAAAATTATTATATTTTATGGTAGGCAACGGCTTGGCTCGGCCCCTGGCATTGCTGACGTCCACGAGCGACGGTGACCACTTACTATCAGGTGGGCCGTATGCTCTTCGGCCCACAAAGGCATTAAAAATAAAATATACATAGTTTGCGTAATTGCGGGTGTTAGGAAGTCTTGGTAAGGTTTTCTTCGGTTTAAATACTTTTACTGGTGGTAGGACCTCTTATGAGTCTGCATGGGTAAGTACCACCGCCCTGCCTATTTCTGCCGTGAAGTAGTGATGCGTTTCGGTTTGAAGGGTGGGGCAGCCCTGTTAAAAGTGAGACCTTACAACTCATGTCTCAAGGTGGGTTTACGCTATAAATGTCTATCCAATCATCTCGTCCACTAATCAAACCAATTAATAAAACTCCAATCTCGTGCACAAACCTATCTATATTTGAAATATATTTACCAGAGTGGAACGCGAAGTGACAGCGCGGCTGAGGGCTGCCCAGGACGAAGCATACGCCGAATCCCTCGCGGCCGACCAGGAGAAGGAGAGACGAAAAGCGGCCGCCCGTGAATTAGAACAGTTACAGCAACAACAGTACTTAGAGGAACTGGAGCAAGAGGAACGCCGGAAACAAGAGGTTGCCAGTTAATACATTTTTTTAATCAATTCCAACTACCCTCTTATTTCACGAATTAACAAGAATGAATGAATATATATATAACTAGCTGACCCGGGAGACTTCGTAGTGCCTCAATCGATAAATAAAAGACCTTAACTTTTGTATCAAATAAACTTAAAACAAACAAAAGGATCCGTCCGACGGGGGAAACATCAAAGGAACAACAAAATTGTTATTTTTATTTAATTCCGAGCATTTTCATATTTATCTACCTTATAAACCTTCTCTGGACTTTCACAAATAATTCAAGACCAAAATTAGCCAAATCGGTCCAGCCGTTCTCGAATTTTAGCGAGACTAACGAACAGCAATTCATTTATATATATATAGATATAACAATCTGAATGGACAATAAAACATTAATCTCGATATCAGAAGCACAGGGATGGATATAATAAATAAATAAATTGTTTAATATAAATTAAAATGTATATTTCCTATTTCTCAGTTTCTTTAGACAACAGATTTTTTTAGATTACATAGACTTGTTTAAAGAAATCATATACCATAAATTTTTTACATAGATATCTTTAATGCATTAGAGCCTATTACGATAATATAAAGTCGAATGCTGGTGCGGTTTTTTCAGGTGGTGGAGGCTCGTAAAGCGATGGCGTCTCGTCTGCCGTTGGAGCCGTCGGGCGGCGCTGACACCGTGGTGCTTCTGATCCGTCTACCAGACGGCGAACGTCTCACTCGCAGATTTTCACATTTCCACACCACTCAGGTAAGGACATTTTTTATGTGTTAACTATTATTAAAAGCCCAGAGCAACTCTCATTGTAATAGCCTTCAGGCTATTGAATAGAAGATACGATATAAAAGATAATATTAACCTACACTAGGCGCGCGAGATCATGTCCATCCTAAGGAATACGTTAGTGCTGTGACCTAGTTAAATATGGTAATGTCGCTAACTACCGATTTAGTCAACAGCTGTCAATTTATGTAACTTAAGGTAATTTTGCAAATTATGAAATAAATGTGATAAGTAATTACTTATTTGTTTCTAATAGAGTTTTTTTTTATTCCTATTCAATCACTTATCAGATGAAAAGACAACCGACAGATCAGTGTCGGAATCAGTATATTTTTTCGGTAGGTTTTTTTCTACCTGAACTTGTTGGAAGCGGAGTAGTCATAGTTTATTCACAATGAAATAACACAATAGCGTTAGCGTAAATTTTCGATATCGATAAGCGTGCGTCACATCCGTCAAGGACAACACTCGACGTCAGACAAATGCGGGGAGGTTGGCGAAGGCGGGGCGAGCTATCCCCTGCGCGTCGCCTCTGGCTCCGATGGACATGAACTCGCGCGCATACTATAGTATTATTGTTCGTGACGCATAGATGGTTCACATGGGCGTCGGATAACAGCTCACAATAACCTCAAAGTGTACGCCCAAAAATGTAATGTGTGTCCATAATTTTAAGGTCTAATATCGAAGCAATGAAAATTAAAAAATACTTTCTGCTGCTTCTACAAAAAAGAGAATTGAATTATTAATTTGTGAACACGTTACAGGATCTATACGACTTTGTGTTCAGCCATCCGCAGTCTCCGGAAGAATTCGAGATAACGACCAATTTTCCCAAACGCGTGTTAGCCCGAGGAACGTCCAACTTGTTGGACGTGGGACTGAAGGATCGAGACGTGTTGTTCGTTAACGATATCAACGCTTGAACACGAATATGTATACATTCTAGTTTTATATAAATTGGTAATAAAGTGTCGTTGTTTGTAAGTAATGCTCTTTTTTTGTAGTAACTTTTTGGGGTCAATGTTTCTTCCTTGTTGTTTAAGAGTGTGGTACCCAAAATCGGTTTTCATACATTTATGACTATTGATATTGTAATCCATGTAATCAGCCGTCGGACAGTTGTTTCTCTCTCGGAATTTTTTGGAGGCGGTGTAAGAGAATTTCTCCCGATGATTAATGTGTTTATGAAATGTGAAGATTCTGAAGGGTCTGAAATAGGATTAATGTATTACAAATCAGCTCGGTCTTCTGAAAAACAAAACAGATGTTAATCATTTGCAAAAAATTAAAATAAAATAAATTGGCATAGTAAAAATGCTGGATTGCGTTTTACAAATATGTACAACACAATTCAAAATCAGTGATGCTTCGAAAAGGACTCGCACGAGTACGGTGTGCTTCCAACAGCTGCCGCCTGATGACAAAGTGCGGGCATTGACCCCGACTTTTGTAAGCTTTACATTGCGGATTCGCTTAATGCTTTTCTTTGAGCAAAAATAATAATAAATTAAAACAATACCTAATAATTGTTCTCCATGAATGCTAAGGTGGTTGGTGTTTCGGCGTCGGGAGATTGTTCTCTTACATTAAATTTTTACATGTATTTTATTCGAGTTTACATCTTGAACACGAATCATAGGCAACGTAAAGATGGCGCTATATTAGTATAATAAAAAAAATGAAAAAACTTATTTTATACTAGTTGATTTTTGGACCACCCGTAGATATTAAAATTAGAGGACCGATTGCAGATTTTAATAGAAGTGTGATTACAATGCTCATAATATAGGATACTCTTGTTATTGAGGCAATGTATAAAAAACGAGGCTGAAAGCATCAGATAATCATTTAGGCATTATCAAATTTCTCCCTTCATTTGAAAACGTTAAAAATACAGTAAGAAAGGCAAATGAATAAATCCACAAAGAACGAGTCGATGCAACTAGATTTTATAAATGCAGTAGCTTAAGTTATTTAAGCAGCCTGCAAACAGAAATTGAAATGTAGCGTATCTAATTCCTATAGTGATGTCTGTTATTGGGGTTTTTTAAAAGATATTTTAAGTTTTATATTTACATTACATCTTTCCCCGTGTGAATTTTATTGTAGTTAGTTTTTATGTCTCCTAGTAATGTGATATTGAATGTTAAAATTAATTGTCAATGTACATAGATTAAGATGTAATGTTTTACGGTATGAACTAGCGGTCTTGGCGAATATTTATAAATTGTGTCTCGTTGTATCTCGTTCTCACTTTGTATTTCTCTCGGAAAATCATTTGCACTCTCTGGCTTAAAGGCTTATTACACTTAGCTAAATTTAGTCGACTGAATTCAGTGAAGTGTAGTAGCATTCAGTAAGCTAGCCTACTAAATTCAGTAGCAAGGATGGTTTCTGACTGACTAAATCATATAGAAGACTATTAAGAAACGCATTTAGGAAGGTGTAATCGCGTTTAGTTACTTAATGATTTCAGTCGTCCCATAGCTCTCCGTGCGTAAGAATGTTTTAGTTTGTTTTTTACTTTCGAATAAAAAGTATTTATTTCTGTCACCTTTATTTAATATGCCAGACATTTATAAATAGCCCGACATCTTTCAGGGATAATTTTTGTCAACAGGGGTTGGGATATTAAAGAACTAAATTTTAAATCTCGATACGAATTTCCTGTTGCAAGAAATCTTAATGCTACAACCAATCTTTCTTTTGAACTTATACTATCTCGCAGGATAGTATCCTGCTTTTGAATAAACGGTGTCACAAGGTTTAATATTAGGTCAAAGGATCTCGAATCCATTCGTAGATACTTTCTGAAGTCTGCTGGTTCTAAATCACTCATAATGTTCATATTTGCTAACTTTCCGCGCAGCATTAAATATTTCTTTACCCATATTCTTCTTTTTCTTTTTTCTTTTTCAATTGAGCCCACAGACCAATTTTTTGTTGCCTAGACAATGCTGGGGCCATCCGCTTACAGACACGACACGTCCTACTTCGTCGCGTTTAAATTGACAGTTGATTCAGTAATTGAATTTAGAACAGTGTAATCAGAAGCTTCTAACTTGCTTCTAAATTTGCTTCTGAATTCAGTCGACTAAATTTAGCCAAGTGTAATAAGCCTTTTAAAAAATATCGTTTACAAACACACAGATCGGGTCTCTCGAAGAAGGCCGACTAAAACAGTTGCATTTTTAATATCGGATAGACTAATCTTATTTAGCAGTAACCGGAAATTCTCGACTTTGCTATGAATATCATCGATTTCCTATTCCGAATTTTACGGACATTCACGTGGCGTCATAGCCAACAATATTATTTTAGTACTTGACAAAGTTATTGAAATAATAGGATTTTATCAAAGTGGTATTCGACACCGATAGATACTATTTTAATTCGTTTAGTTTTCCGATAATTATTTATTTTGTATAATATACATTTCTAATTTTGTAAAAGATGGATATTAAATTTTTAAATAAGTTTCTGACAATGTTTTTTAAAAATATTGTTCGATTTGCATACCTACTTAGTATTTTTTTTATTACAAATAAATACATGTCTCTGTTTTTTTTAAAGTATAAAATGTAAATATAGTATAAAAAGGTGGCAGTAAATTATTATGTAGGATACATTTGGTAAATGCTTAAATTAAATGTAGTTATCATACAAAACAAATATAAATATTAAATATGCCTTAAAAATTACGATGATTGTTTAATTTAGAGAACAATCGAACATTTCTTTCTGATTTATTTTTTAATATTTAACTGTAATTCCAAATATGATGTCAATGTTGTAGTGATGTAATTTAGTATCCAGTAGCTGTATTCAGAACCTTTTTTCGATTTTATTTCTTTTTTATCTATAAAAGTACAATAGCTTGTCAACGATTCATGGTTCTAATGATCAGAGTTTTATTTAAAAATTGTAAACTACCTATTTAGGTAAACAGATGAGCTTAATTTTACTTCACAAATCTTAACGTAAAATAAAAAATATTCTATTATGTCCTCACACAGGCACGCGTGTTGAATGCAGAACTGAGAAATTAGTGATTTTTTTTATTGGGCCTGCCAGCAGGATTTGAACACCGGCATAGTCGCATCGCTAGATACGGGTGCACCGGACGTCTTATCCGTTAGACCATGAGACTTCGTAACGTGCTGTGATCTAACCGGCAATTAGGTTTACACATGGAAATAAAATAAAAAAAACATATAAAGAAAACATTCTTTCAGAAAAACTTTGAAGTGTTGATTTTCAAAATAAATAAAAAAATACATAAAATAATATTGAGCACTTGTTTTGCCCTTTCCTGTGCTTAACGATTTCAAAATACATTTGATGTTTCAAATAAAATAATGAAAACGAACCGCTACGTGATTACATACTTAAAGTCTTTATCCATATGACCTACGTTTGGCATACTACTAGACTGGGTTTTGAAGTCCTTTACTGCATTCAACGCGCAGACCTAATTTCTACGTTTGGCTTGAAATTTTAGTTAATTTAATGTTATGTTGTTTTTAAGTCGAAATAAGACGTTTTGCATTTAATCCTAATGTTTTGTTATAAAATAGAATAAAGATTTTTTCATTTATTTCTGTATTTTACTTTATTTTTTCTCTTCAGCTTTTATAACATTTTAATTGGTTGTCACGAGTGGTTTGTGGCACTACTTCGTTGGACCTACCACTAATTTCGATTTGTTTATTATATATGTCACTAAATATGCTTTAATTGCCGAAATACAAAATATAGGTTGGAAAGGCAGGTGTACCTGGATACTATTGCACTTTATGGAATCGTGTAAATACGAGTTAGTACGAAGTCCTTGATTTTTAAACATAGGTTGATTTAACTAGCGTTAAACTAAGATTTGAATAAAAAGCATACATACTTTTTCTAACACTTTATTGAACTCTATAGAATTTAACACAAATAAACTTATAAAAAAACAACATAAAACCTGGAATGTAGGCACTTTCACGTATTGGCAACACTAAATTCAATTACACTATGTCATCATGTGTTTTTATTGGGATAACGATACCGTCCCCTCTATCCACACAGCCTACTGCATCAAAATTGTACAAAGTAACATGTTGGTATTGTGTCTATTTAATTTAAGTATTTAAGCATTCCGAATTGCATTTATTAAAGTCCTACTGTATGCTGTCAAGGTTGGTATTTTGTCGTCGCCATTTCAAAGTTAGGTAAGCTGTCGACACGTGAGAAGTATTAATTTTAAAATATCAACGTAACATCTTCACTGATATGTTAAACTGTACCGTGGTTTCCGTGGTTTCCGTGCTTGAGACAACTAAGTGATTAAGAAGTCGTTCGAACTATAAATAGCCTTGTAGACACTCACTATTTTCTATGCGTTACATTAATTGTCTTTTATCGATTAGTAATGTTACTTTTCTGTTCAAGCTTTAATAGGTTACATTTTTCTTATTAATTTCTGTATTACAAAAATATCTATATGAATTATAGTGGGTGTTTGCGCAGTATATTATATATTATAGGTAATCAGTATGTTATAATCTATTACAGTTACAATGAACAGTTATCATAATACAACCCTATATTTCGCGTATTATAAATATTATAATCTACGTAATTTGTTGAATTTAAGTAAGTACGAGTTAATCTGTAGCTTTGTGATCGTTTTATTTTTATTGCAATGGGTGGACGAGCTCACAGCCCACCTGGTGTTGAGTGGTTACTGGAGCCCATAGACATCTACAACGTAAATGCCGCCACCCACCTTGAAATATGAGTTCTGAGGTCTCAGTATAGTTACAACGGCTGCCCCACCCTTCAAATCGAAACGCATTACTGCTTCAGGGCAGAAATAGGCATAGGATAATTATCGTATAGGTATAATATTAAAATAATATATAGGTAGGTACCTAAAAACATGCACGTTTGTTTACTACAACAATAATAAGATCTAGATGTTTAGCATCGTGTTTAGCAAATTCACGAAAAACGACGTGTTTTGTCTTTTATTTGTGATTAAAATATTCAATTTTTTTTCTTCATTATAATAAATTTTCCTTAAATTAAACTTTGACTCATCTTTACAAAGATTCACATTTTTAAAAAGACGTTGGATGGAATATTTACAAATCATAGATGTATCGAATACGATATAAACGACTATAATTTTGTCTTTCTTTTACACTGAGGTATTCTAACAATCCGAATCACAATGAATTATGCCTACAACAATCACAAAATGACTATAATTATTTACACTGTGACATATTTTAATATCTAAAAAAGCTAGTTTATCACACTTTCTTTTAAGACTACTTACATAATGTATTTACACATTTAAGTAATCCATGATTATTACCCAATTTCTTTTTGTGCTTTTGAACATTTTTTTATTTTTATAATTGCAATAATAAACAAAGAAACAGAGACAAATTCAGACACAGAAGCACATTAGCTGGAAACATTTGCTAATTCTTCAAAGGACAGATATTACATAACTGCGAATTTTCGATCTATTTACATGCGCCATTCCATCCCCATATAAATTAACAACTGCTGCAAATGCAAGTACATTTATTATTTTTTTTTAAATTTTATATTATTTATTCATTTGTTTCTAACAACCTCATTATTATTACAACAGGTATATTTAAGTTCTGAATTACTTTAATAGAATTAAATTTATATTATTAACGTGTAAGTGGTAGTTATTGAAAAAATGCACAACCTCGTGTACGTGTTTTATTTTCGAAAGTTAGTTAGCTTTCATTATACCTAACAATTCACTAAGCTTGTGAAATAACAACATTGAATTTTTACTCTAGTTTCCTTGAAAGCTAAAAAAAAATTGTAAATATTAACTATACTGCTACCTATTTGTGTTTTTATAGTCTTACAGCAATAAAAACTACTTTGTAAGAGTTTCATAATATTTATAATTAATAATTCTGTAAAGGTATTTTTTTGCAGTAAATTTATTTCAGTAGCTATTAAAATCTAGATGATATATTTTTTTGCATTTACTTGTATTATTCCACTCTTTCTGACAACGTATGTTGATAATCTATTTTATCTTGCAATTTTATTGGTTATATACTGCGATCTAGTTCAATTCTATTTTTTGGATTAATTAAACAATCCAATTTGCATTTAAGTTTTTAGAGCAATACCATTACGTAACAAAACCACCACATCTATTCCATTATTTTGAAAAATTTTAATAATATCTTTTCAGTTGACAAAATAAAATATTTCATTAAAATCACGATAAATTCAGAATTAATTTCTTCAATATACATTCACGTCAGAGCATATCCTTAGCCCATAAACGCATGTAAACAATTATCTTTCAGGCCTTCTTGTTTCAGCAAATCTAGTGAAGTATGTGTGAACTCATTTGGTCCACAAATGCAAGCGTAATGAGTACATTTTGTATAACATTTCATGGAATCTTTATCGAATATGTTTTTAAGTAGTTCTTTGGATATTCTTCCTGTGTGTCCTATCCATGACGGACCAGCATTGGATAAAATATTTGTTACAACAAATCTGAAAAATAAATACATATAGAGTAGGTATGTGTATTCTTATAAAAAAAACTATTTTATTAAGGACTTAAAGAAGGCCTACAAAATATAATAGTAGAGAAATAGAAGCGTAATCAATTTTAATTTGTTATCAGTTATTAACAAAGAATCGCATTTCACCAAGTAAAAAAAGCAGTGTCATGTGTATTCACTTGACCAGTGATAAGATAGACATTCATTTTCGTTAAAATTACTGCAATTAGGTAATTAAGTACGTATTTTAAATTACTGCAATTATTACTAGGTTTTTTGATGGCATAATTAAACAGGCAATGGAAAGACAGTTAAGGACCTACTTCTTCCCTGCCAACTGTGTTTCTTTTTTAGTTTAATAATATTGATACTGACGTTTTCGTTTTATTAAAACAAGTGTTTTTTTTTCAAAATGGCAACAGCGGTACAAGTTTAAAAACTTTTGAGTTTTTTTTATTACCTGACGAGTAATATGCTAATACATTAACGAGTTTATGACTAATAAGACTTATTTAAAGTCAAGCAAATCATACCCATTCATTTAGTAAACAACATAATCAGAATAATGTGGATTTAAGTAATTTACCTACTTAAAACATATTTCGAAATAGAAAATAAAATACAAACCTATCGTCCTCCTTCGCTATATCTTCAAGGATATCATTAAATAATATGTCTTGTTCTGTTTTGTTAAAGAAAAGCAGATGCACCCGTTCACTGAAACGATAAATAATTTTATTTTTAAAATATACTTAAGTATATATTCAGAAATAAAGTGTTTGAAAATTACCATACTAATTGTTGATTATCATATTTAAAATTGATAAGGTATGCAAATGAAGGTAACGTGTAGTCAGAATTTATGGCTATCACGCAATGATTTTGATTGCCTACTAGTCAAGGCCGGTCACGTTCCGCTGTGACTGTCAGAAAATACACGGAATACACTCATTTGTGACGGAAACTAGTCGAGACTAGTTCGCGCCATCTTTTTTTTCCTACCTAAGCTGAGAGCCTTGAGAGGCTATTTCAGCGTAACCTTAACTAGTAGGTGAGCTCACGGGGCTCAAACCTGACGACGTTGCTAACACGAACCCTAGCAAGAGCCGTGCTTCGCAGAATCTACCACCGGATCGGAAACGCGACCCACTGAGAAGGTCCGGCGAGAAACTCAGTGGGCTGTGTCTGAGGGCTAACGCGACATCTATCATCTATTTAATATTGATACTGCGAACGAGCCTTTTCTGCAGTGCTACTTCAACAATGTGTCGATTGCTGATATATATATATATATATTTTATGGCTGTGTTGGTGGATTTGCTCACGGCCCACCTGGTGTTAAGTGGTTACCGGAGCCCATAGACATCTAAAACGTAAATGCCGCCACCCACCTTGAGACATGAGTTCTAAGGTCTCAGTATAGTTACAACGGCTGCCCAATATTTCAACCCGAAACGCATTACTACTTCACGGCAGAAATAGGCAGGGTGGTGGTACCTACCCGTGCGTACTCACAAGAGGTCCTACCACCAGTAATGACACAAATTACAATTTTTTTTAATTGTTATCCTTTAGGCCACGACGACTTTGTTAGGGATCTTCTCTATTGTGCACAGATAATTACAGAAAAGGTCTTTTATAAACGTCGTTTTATAGCAGCACATAAGTGTGTTTGTTATTTTAATTAATAATAACATAAATATAACAAAACTGAAAAACAGTTTTATGTCGTATGTATATTTACACTCACACATGGGTTTATTACAAATACACGTTTTATTTTGTTTACGTATTCTGCAACGCCATTTCCCCGGTAGTTGGATTGAGGTTAAATACTATATTGAGCGAACAAGTGTCATAAAATTATTACTTCACTAGAGCAACGTACCATCTGGGGTTAGATCTCGCCAGCATAAACTTTACGAGGCCGAGCATCGGAGTAATGCCGGTCCCAGCGGCTATAAGATACATTACCTTCACCGTTTTCAACTGCAATAAAGTACGGATAATATAAATCGACACATTATTAGCTTACATTTTTTCTAAAATACCGTTACTAAGAACCGTTTTTACCCCCTACACATTCGCTGGTAGCCTAAGAGGCTATTTCAGGTACGACCGGACGGGTAAGTGAGCTCACGGCTTCAACCTGAGAGGATTTGCTAAAACTAGTCCTAGCAAGAGCAGTGCTTCGCAGAATCTACCAAGAATCGCGACCCACTGAGAAGATACGGCTAGAAGTGAGCTGCGTCGATGGGTAAGAACCGGTTGCTTCACTGCGCGCGTAACAGAATTGTCAAAACTTGAATCCTGTAAGAAATGCGGTACGTATATGCGACACATTTTTCATAAACTAGTGGTCCCGCAGTAGTGGAAATTCGACTATAATTAATTGAAATTGTAAGTTTGTACACTATTGATTCTATTTTCAAAGACTATTATACTTCTATAATCACAAATTTCGCCAAGAGTACACTATAGAAAAATATTAATAAAGACAAACAATATTTAATCTATTCTCAATTTGACCACAGACGTCAAGAACAAAAGTTTGACAATAAATAAATAGTATGCATGCGTGTGTGCGTCACATACATGGTAGTTTTTATTAATTTAATGTATTTTTTAGGCATAATTTTGAAAAAAATATTAACATTCTGCACTCCTTCTCTATATTCTCTATAAGTGTGGGAAATTTCATACTCCTCCGTCCGCGCAATTTTCGCGTAAAAAGGGATACCTACAAAGTTTTTCCTTCACGTATTCATATTTCATAAATAAATCTTGAAGACGTTCTACGGATGATTTAGGTCTTTTATAGCTTATTATATTACGAAGGTGCGTTGTATTTTGTTGATTTTTAATATACCTATTTTTAAAGCGACCGCGGGCGCTGCTTCACTGTAACATGACGATACAATTTAAAATATTAGTCAATTTTATGTAAGTACAAAAACTTGTCTGATCGTAAGTAGTAGAGTTTAATTCCTTCAGTAAATATTTTTTTCTTTGCTGTTACACTTCAAGATGAGAAGGCTCTTGAATTTCCATTTAGGATAATCATTCTCTCTGTATTTCGTAAATAAAACGATATGATGAATTAAAGATTCGTATCTATTTGTTGTGAATTTTCCGAGATCCAATACCTATTGTGTCTCTATGAAAGAATTAATTTTATATCGGAATTATAATCTTTCAGAACATGCCCATAGCTCCACTAGACTGTATGGTATAACTCATAATCATGTGATTATACCGAGACACGACCCTCGGGCACTTACCGATATTTGTAAGTAATAAATTAACATTATTATGCCAATCCATTATGGTGGAAAAACTTCGTGTAATAAAATTAAGCCCTCAAAAAGGGACCGATATTGTGTGCTCAATGGGCTGGTTTATGGTCGCTAAGTTTGGTACCACTGTCTGCCTATTTCGGCAATTAGATTATAAAGGAAATACTTAGCACGCGTAATCAACAAAGGTAGCCGTACTTAGTAGTGGCAGGTTGTATAGTAATCCCGCAAGATTAGGTACCACCACCACTACGTTGTGTTTCTGTCATGAACTCACTCGATCTGCTTTGAAGGGCGCGATAGCCGTCGATTGTGACTTTAAACTCATATCTCAAAATGAACGAAACATTCACGTTTTGTTGTTTATGAGTTTTCTTTGGGTGTCACAAGTCGTAGATATAAATAAATATTTAAAATTACTTTTACGGTTTTATCTCGTGTCTGTTACAGTTTTCGTCAAGGAAATATTTAGTTTCGTAAATACTAGTAAAATCGTTTTTATTAATTAACACTAGAAGCATGGCCGCTCATCCATCGATCCACGCAGTAATAGTAAATCTTATTATTTTATTTATATTTACTGATTAAACAGCAACTATAATGAGCAGGTCATTTCCAAATTTCATAAGTCAAACATTTTTATAGCGTACGCACGCTATGAAAATGTTTCACAAATTAATTAATTAATTAATTTTTAAAAATACTTTACTCATACAGGCGCGTAGGCGTAAGAGTTCACACGACACTTAATGTGCTTTAATAGATGGAAAATTTTCACGGGTTCGTATATTTTATTATATAAAACACCAAAACAAACCTTTGATAATTCAAAATTTCCATATGGTCCGGATAAGGTAACCACGTCACTAATCTTCAGAGAGGCCAAGAGCGGAGACATTGCACCTGAGTCATATTTCTTCACTGCTAATCTTAAAGCTGAAAGCACGTCATCAGTTGCACCCCAACCTTCGCCTACGGGAGTATATGATCTGACTAATTCAGAACCTGCGAAGAGAAGAATCAATATCGTAAAACCTCTGCTTACAACAAAATGCACATAATTTCTAATAAAAAATACAATACTTCCACTAAACTCCAATCTTCTATTTATCTCTAATCTATCTACAGTGGATCCGGCGGCCGACACATCAAAAGCTCCCTATGAGCGATTGCGTCACAATAATGGCGGGTTGCCTCCTAATCAATTAATGGATGGGAGAAAATTATTATTGTTACAATCAAACTGTTCTAAATAACAAACCGTTAATACCTAATTCAATTATTTGGAACAAGGAAATTTGAGATATATCAAAACGGAATTACTTAAAAGGTTCATAATGGTGACCTAATCTTGTACTCTATATGCTTTCACATAAATGAAAGTTTTACGCGTATTACCTTCCATTTGCTCGTGTATCCGTACGTGGTGCCCGAGAGGCACGAGAACAGGACCAGCCTTAGGTGTCAACGAAAGCAATGTAGTGTCGTGTGACACACGATCTACACGCATTATACGACATTCCATTGTTCTAGGCGAAGAGATTTTCTTTGGCACACCTAGGACTACTTCACCGCAGCCTTTCCAGAGACCGCTTTTCACTTTACGTGCAATGACCTTAACAAAATAACTGAATAATTAAAATTAGGTTGTTGTGTTCACATCCAGTTTACTTTAGAGATCACTGGTAAGGAACATTTCTTTTACTATCTATTCTAGTAACCTCGAGGGGTTATTCTAGATTCACCGAGCTAGTAGGTGAGCTCACGTGGCTTAAACCTGTCGTCGTTGCTAACACTAATCTTAGCAAGAGCAGTGCTTCGCTGAATCTACCACCGGATCGGAAACGCGACCCACTGAGAAGATCCGGCGAGAAACTCAGTGGGGTGTGTCTGTGGGTTAATTCACTCGCCGAGCCCTTCGTCGTATGCGACGGGTTCATCGAGAACGGTGACCGGTGCTTGGGGTACCTAAAAGCACCGTTAGTGGATCGGGAGGATTCGAAATGACGTGATATAAGGAACGAAAAGTAAATACTACACGCAATTCAAAAAAGAGTCAAGCTAACAAACAACCCAAAATGCTATATTTGAATTAAGTTTTCGTGTAAAACACGAACGTGTCTATAGTAAATATGATGATTTTATCGGAAAAATTGTTACCTCTACTTTACCACTCTCTGCAAACACCCGTAGCTGCAAAGGTTCCTGCAAAGTCGCCTCAGGTGTTATTTTAAGTGTTCTAAGCCAACCGTTCGTTGCTACTTCGATCAATAGGAAGCCGTCGGTAATCCTCGCACATCCACCAGGATTTGCCAGCGGACCCGTGTAGACGGAGATTGTTAGCTTTGTAGATGTTTGAATCCAATCGTATCGCATAGGGGTGGGAGTTTCTGTACTTTTATCCGCTTTCTTCGCAGGACTCGCTGCTGCTCGCCGGCTTATAGACACCGGTAAGTCGCTAGATTGTATCAGACTCTGCATTATTTTACTCGGCGGGCTACCTTTGACGTTTTCTTCGCTTTTATTTGATATTTTCTTTCTTACGGGCGTAATACAATTAGCTAAATTCTCCATAGATTTTCTGACTAATTCTTGTGCTTTAGAAGGTTCTCTGAGACGGTCCGATTTAGAGGATGGCGAGGAGGTGTCGAAGAGTTCTTCTGCATCGGGTAGATCATAGCGCAGAGGGCCTACTAAACATTTGGCCAGAAGCGAGTCGTAGTTCACCCAAGGATGGACTTTATCGAATAATTGGGTGGCGTCCATTCCTGCGCCACGCATTAATTCTTCGGGTCCTTAATTGAAGAAAGAAATCAGTCGTAGATATATTCTATGTAATTCAGTTGTTTTAAATTTTATTTGTTAAAATTCACCGTACTAAAACTTACCGCCAGGGTGATAAGGTAAGTAGTGGGTTATGTTATAAACCCGACCGCGGATGGCTAGCCACGCATCTTCTGCAACAATACATGTAGTGCGTGAACCGATTTATCAACTATATTACAATATTAAGTAAAATAACAGACAATACAGAAGTGGAAGAGTAGAAAAAGGAAAGCTGAGCCCACCCCCATGTGAGATAACTAGCGAGGAAAAGAGAGAAAGACAGACAGAGAGAGAGAGAGTAATACAGAAAAAAAATTGTAAGACGATTGAACGACAATTGAAATTGACCTTGATTGAAACTTTTACAAAATGTATGTTTGTTTTTATACATTTTATGTGGCTATTCATTTTCTGATTGGAAGTAGGATAGGCCGACGAAGAACACAGCGCAGGGCTAAGGCATTAACCGATCAAAATAAATGAGGTGAATAATAATTAATTTACTTTGAGTGTTGTGTGCCGCTAATTCGGTGTGGGTGACGGGTCGTATCCGTCCTCCAACGCCGGTCAGATCTTTGCCGGAGTTGCCCAGTCTGATCCAGTCCATCAAACTGTGCCCGGGTTGAAGGGCACATTTGTTACGAGGGTTGCCTGTTAAAACAATAATTAAGTAGGTACTAAAATTAGAAACACCAAGTTAAACCTATTTCTAATGTTTTCATGTGTTTCCTTAAAGACTATCAATCATCTTGAAGTATTCACTAGGAGTTGCATCGGTATAGTATTCATATGCAAATCGGTTATTTTTATCGAGTATTACTGGTGGAAGGGCGTCTTGTGAGCCGAAACAGGTGAGTGCCATGAATCTTCGTATTTCCGTCCTGAAGCGATACTTAATTGCGTTTTGCTTTGAATGGAGGCATACCCGCTATACTCTACAATTGATACTTAGAGCTCATGTCTCATAGTGGGTAGCTAGACATTTATTTTGTAATGTCTATGAGCTCCGGTAACCACTTAACACTAGTAGGGCCATGAGTTCATTCACCGGCCTATGAAAAAAAAACATTATGTAACTCGTACATGAGTAACTGAAAATATTATCCACTGCCATAGCAGTATGGCTGTTTGTTCAGGCTGCATATTCGCATTCCTATCGAAAGAATAAAAAGAAAAAAATCCATTCCGTTGCCTTGTCACAAAATGAAAATGTCAATGCCGTGTCACAAAATGAAAATGTTACATATTTTACAATTGTTTACCTACTTTATACAAAAATTGTTAAGATTATTTAAATAAAGCAAAAACAACTGATTCAAATAAAATGTTTTTGTTGTACCTTTCAGTTTTATCACAGACACAAATTAATATGTACATATATATCTAATATATTTTTATGATATCCAATAAGGCAGATTAAAAAAAGAGGGAATATAGAGTTAAATTTTATATAACGTAATATTATTATGTCGTATTGGAATTTCGATCTGAAAAAGTGGGTACAATAATACGTTGATATAGTACAGTGCTTCTATTTATTTCGGTACCCAAAATGAAATATTATAATATCTCTGGAGTTGGGAATTTCGTCTACTCAAATCATATTTCTCGAAGTCCAGTAAAAGTAGGCGAATCATTTTATACAAACAATTTGATGACCGAATTAATTGAAATGGAAATCTTATATGGGAAGAATAATCTTAAATGTGCATACCTACATTACGCGTAAAAATATGCGTGTTTTTTTGTTTGTTAACTTCAATGTGGTTATTGCTTAGGATTTAATGAAGTTTTAATTTTTTTATTGCTTATGGGCGGATAAGCTCTGAGTCCGCCGGGTGTTAAGTGGTTATTGGAGCCCATAGACATCAACAACGTAAATGCCGCCATCCACCTTGAAACATGAGTTCTAAGGTCATTTCATTCAAATTTTTTTCAGTACATCTGCTGCCCTACCCATCAAACCGAAATGCAACACTGCTTCACGGTAGAAATAGGTAGGGAAGTGGTACCCATGCGGCCTCACAAGGTGTTCTACCACCTTATGCTGTATGTATTTAAAACGCTATTTTAATTTTTCTATTTTACAAAGTCTCAGCATCGTTGCTATTAATTAGATAATATATAATTACTTTTATATCGATAAGACATTCATAAAAGGTCTCGACCTCCCTTTTATTTATTTATTTATTTATTTATTTATACTTTATGCACAAAACAAAACTTGTACACAGGCGGACTTAATGCCATGGGCATTCTCTTCCAGTCGACCATAGGGTGGTGCAGAGATAATGCATGGTAGGTGCATTGACAAAAAAATAACAAACAACAACAACAAAACAAAAAAAAAGAACAAACTCAAAACAAAAATCTTNAAATAACAATTTGGTAAGATACAATCTATATGCATTAAAAACCAAAGAGAGAAAAAAAAATTATTAATAACAAACAAAAATGAATAAAGCGTATATCTCAACACCACCTGCCAGCTAACACCAATATAAAATATAGAAGATGTAAATTAAATTCAGTGAACATCAAGAAACATTTAGAAAGCATTACAAAATATAAACAAAATCCAAAATTTTCTAAAATCTTTTAAATTTTGCATTAATTGGAAAATTGGAAAATTGGATTAATTTTTGAAATCTTATCCATGACGACTTGCCCCAAGACCTCACTAATTGTGCGGATAACTTTGAAAGAAGCCGTATACAGTACACAATAACGTCATTTCGTTTATTGTATAATAACTAGATTTCCAAGGTTTTCAATTGTAAGGTTAATTAAACCTTCGGTGAAAAACTATAGGATCTTTGCGTGTTTAAGCTTCTTTAAAAATATTAAGGAGTACATGGTGTAAGCGAACCTGAAAAGAAGGCAGCATCTGAATACCGACACCCTAGGCTAGGAAATGGACAGAATGGTGATATTTTCATACCCGTGCGATCTTACATTGCCCACAGTCAAGTATATCTAACATTTACGATTTTTAATACATAAATGCGAAAGTACATTATTAGTACCAATTGCCAACATTGGGGGATAACAGAGATGCGAGATTGGGGAGTGAAAGTTACAGGATAACAAACTTGTTATAAGTACAAACACAAGTACTACTCTTGATGTGTGGTTCAAACTTTGATCTCAGTTGTTTCTTCTGTGAATCATATAACATCTGTAAACTCTTTCGTACTGTTACGTGTTTTTATAATATTGTTTGGTTGCCTTGTGTACGTGTATATATATATTGTAATAGAACGTGAGATGACAAAATGATTTACGAAGGGTTTTATTTTTCTTTTTGAAGGGTTGAATAAGGCTTCCGGACCTTACAAATAAAATTATCATGTTATGCTACGCGAGTCGAAGCGTTATATGCTAAAACATTCTTATGATGATAAGACCCTGTATTATAGTCGGAACTGTATATTATAATAATAGTAATATTAATACGTGAAGCAAAAATTTTGTATCCCTTTTTACGAAAATTGCGCGTGCGGAGGAGTATGAAATTTTCCACACTTATAGAGAATATAGGGAAGAAGTGCACAACGCTAATATTTTTTTTAAATAATGCATAAAAGATACATTAAATTAATAAAGAAAACATTACACACACTACATAACATGTATTTGACGCATGCACGCATCCATACTATTTATTGTCAAACTTTTGTTATTGCCTACGAAGAAATAGTAGGTTATTGCTTAGTTAGTAGTCAAATTGAGAATAGGTTAGTATTGTTTATCTTTAATATTACGAGTATTTGTCTTGGCGAAATCTGTAACAATAGGGCCATAATAATGTTGAAACTTATAATTTCAATTAATTATAGTCGAATTTCGACTACTGCGGGACCACTAGTTTAATAAATATTACGTCAGGGACGTCAAGTGACTGAAGAAGGACGTTTTGGCGGTCTTTTGGTTTATCTTACATTTTTATTACCTATTTTATTACAAGTACTTCATTTTATGAGTCACAAAGACAGTTACTCGATTTGAAATTTATTTTGAACTTTTGATTTCTTAATTTACTGACATTTAGTAGCAATAGCATACCCGGCCGAGACTTAAAACACACTCATTAATGACCGTGGCATAATGAAGGAACTACAAAACAACGACGAGCATTTACAGAGACCCGTCCATTAGGTCCTTAATCTCTACCGTACGAAAGTAGGTACTTTCCCAACAAACCTGAGCTAAACTGTAAACACCAATAAATTTCCGTGTGACAGTGGGGAATTGGCCTATTTACCAAAGCAACAGCGTTATGGCCTCTACAAATTTTCCCGTAAATCAATATTGTCTCAATTAATTCAACGTAATGGCTCGTATAGATGAGAACGGAAGACCTTTGTTAAAACGAGGAGAGATTTTTTTTATATTCAAAAAATGAATAAATGGTTTTATAATATTATGTGGTAAACGAATATTGTCAAAATGTGATGCTGAATGAAAAAAATACATTATTATGCTGAAAAATTACAAAATCACAACTACGATGACGAACTTAAGACTAGGTACCTACTTCTAATTCCAATAACGAATTATACTAAATTGTCAGCAGTTGACTAAATTTACTATCAAAAATTAAAAACAAAAAGACACTAAAATGGCATCAGAGTTTGTTTTCAATCCGTTCAAAAATGAATTACTTAGAAATGAGTTTGATTTATCGCGTCATATCCAACCAAGGGGGCAGGGGTTTGAAAGAGGCACGAATCACTACGAAGTTATTCTAATATGCTTTCACAGTAAAGTTTTTTCTACTGGCATTTGTTGTTGCATGAATATAAAACAATGCAGACAGTTAAACTATCTTATTTTAACTATTCTGCAAAACCAATACATTAATTCTTTAATGTTAATTCATTAATTCTTTAATGTATTCTAATTTAGAATACAGACACAACAAATAAGCTATTAAACTTTTAATGTAAAAAAACTTGTGTCTATTCTGTTCTCACTGAGAGCAAAATGGGAACGTCGAATTAAACACCAACCCCAAAACTCAATAAGCGGCGCTTACGTGGCAAGTTACGTAATTAAGTTCTGTGGTATTCATTAAAGAGATAAAATGTAGAAGAACGATGGAAATAATTGGTAGGTAACCTTAATGTTGGGATTTCCTTGGCAAGGGAAAATAACCTCAATACCACTTCAATTGACAGGTCGTCCGTCAGCTGTCACAATGAGTATTGTGTAAGGCGTATGTTGCGATAGTAAATTATTACGGTTTCCCCTTCTCTTGTTTTCTTGTTTATTATGATAGATAAGTTAAAATGCTTCAAGTTAGGGATTCCCGTGAATAAAAAACATAAAAACGACATACGAACTTAGCGAGATGGAGATGTGTAATGAACATATAAATGTTGATGATAATTTCTTTCTTCTATGTAAGACTGTCATAAAATCTTTTAATATTGATTTTTGGTATTTGTTTTTACAATACAATATTACAATTACAATAAAATCGTTCCAAGAGATGGGCTTTTTGTACATATACTTTCGATTCTTTTTGTTTATTTCCGTTCGAGATTTATTTTTACTTTAATATGATAAAGATGGTTGTGTAATTAATTTTCTTGTACGTACTGTGGGTTTTTTGATGGACCGGAAAAAAAATTACTACGACAGCGATG